ACATCATGCTTGGGAGGGTGGAGGGACAGCGCAGGAGGGGAAGGCCCTCTATGAGGTGGATTGATTCAGTGACTGGGATAATCGGGATGGGAGTGTCAAAGACAGGGCGATTGGCACAGGACAGAGCAGAGTTTAGGGCTGTTGTACATAGGGTCGCTATGAGTCGCAAGCGACTCAATGGCACATAACAACAACAACAACAACAATGTAAGTTTGGATGTTATCTTAGGAAGAACCTGCACGTTGATCTTCCTGTAACTACTGCCTCCCTAGGAAAGTTTCTTTATCGAATATAAACAACTTTAGAATTTGAAAAAGATTAGCCTCCCTTAGGGAGCTCTGTTGGCCTAATGGTAAGGAGTAGCCCTATCAACCTAAAGGTATGCATGCAGTTCAAATTCACTAGCTTCTCCATAGGAGAAAGGCAGGCAATCTACTCCTGTGCAATTTCATGCCTCTTAAAAACCCACTGGAAGGGAGCTCTGGTGACCTACTGGCAAGAAGCTGCACTGTGATCTCAAAGGCTCATGGTTCAAATCTCCCAGATGCCCTGCTGGAGAAGGAGGGAAAATTTCCTCCTAGCCAGGTCCAATTTGACAGTACACAACAGGGGCTGGGGGGAACCCACTATAGGATCAGCTATGGGTCGGTTCTGACCTGATGGTGCACAACAACAACAAGCCTTCCTGAAGAAGCTCTGTGACCTCGCCCACCAAGCATCTCCAGTGGTTCCCAAGAGCAGTTCTGAAGGAGATGTGCAGTTCCTTCTGATTTACAGCCTCAGAAACTGCTGAAGGGTCGGGTATGGGTCCATTTTGATGCAACGGAAATTAATTTTAAGGGAGCTCTGTTCACATGGTCTATGAGGAGTTGTGCTGCTAACCCAAAAGCTGCACCTCTTTGTCTGTTTGTATCCACTGCTCTTTGGGAGAAGGATGGGCAATCTCCTCCCAGGTGATTCCTAAAAAACTCAAATCCATTGCTATTGAGTTGGAGCCAACTTATAGCTGGCTCTCCAGTGGCGTCAGACGCTGTAAATCACATGGGAAGATACTGTCCATCTTTCTCCCATCAGTAGCTGGTAGATTTAGACCACTTGCCTTTGGATTGGCAGTACAGCTCCTTGCATTCTCGGCCGTCAGAGTTCTCCACCCATGCGATTTAAGCTTCCCAAATCCCACTGGAGGGTCATCTGTGAGTCAGCTCAAACTGTACAGCAGTGGGTGACTGAGTGAGCCTCCCTTAGAACACAAGGACCTTTCAGATCTGGGCCTTTTTCATTAACATTTGCCTCAGTGGATCCAAGATGTAAACCTTGCTGGATCAAAGAAAGATTTTCTTCTCTCACAAACTTGTTGGATTGGATTAATAAACATCTTTTGTTTTTTTCCTCTGTTCTTGTATCTACAAATGTCCTGTGTATCCACAAAACCATTTGTCATCTTACATCAAAGATGACTTGGAAAACTGGTATGAGTGATGGTTTTAACATATTCACCAATATGTTCCTTCAATAAGGAAAATAAGACCTTATTTAATCTTATAATATTGTTGCAGTTGTGTGCCATTAAGGTGAAAAGACTCATAGGTAACCCTTTAGTGGGTTTTTAGAAGCAGTAAATCACACAGGAGTAGATTAACCATCCTTCTCCCTCAGACACCAGATAGATTCAAACTGGGTGTTTTTGGGATTGCAGTGCAGCTTCTTATCATTAGGTCACCGTGTGTGTGTGTGTGTGACATTAAAAATATCCATATACATACCCACCACTCAGGTGACCTAATGGTATATGTATATATGTGTGTGT